AAACAGCAAATCGAGCAATGCAACGCTTGTGGTGAAAATATGTGAAAATAGTGTATTTCGATGCAGCCAATGCAGCTTTCAAACTCGAAACACCAGAAATACAACAGAGCAACGACCTTGTGCGAAACAAGTGGAAGACAAGTGAGCTTACTGGGAGCCAAGTCGAGACATGTGGGAGACAAGTGTGAAATCATGCGGCCAGAGCGCTCAGAGCATCCAGAGCTTGCTGGGAGACAAGTGGGAGACAAGTGTGAAATCATGCGGCCAGAGCACTCAGAGCATCCAGAGCTTACTGGGAGACAAGTGGGTAACAAATGGGAGACAAATGGCAGACAAGTGTGAAATCATGCGGCCAGAGCACTATAGAGCATCCAGAGCTTACTGGGAGACAAGTGGGAGACAAGTCTGAAACCATGCGGCCAGAGCACCCAGAGCATCCAGAGCTTACTGGGAGACAAGTGGGAGACAAATGGAAGACAAGTATGAAATCATGCGGCCAGAGCACTGAGAGCATCCAGAGCTGACTGGGAGACAAGTGGGAGACAAATGGGAGACAAGCGTGAAATCATGCGGCCAGAGCACTGAGAGCATCCAGAGCTTACTGGGAGACAACTGGGAGACAAGTGGGAGACAAATGGGAGACAAATGGGAGACAAGTATAAAATCATGCGGCCAGAGCAGAGAGCATCCAGAGCTTACTGGGAGACAAGTGGGAGACAAGTGGGAGACAAATGGGACACAAGTATAAAATCATGCGGCCAGAGCACTCAGAGCATCCAGAGCTTACTGGGAGACAAGTGGAGACAAGTGTGAAATCATGCGGCCAGAGCACTCAGAGCATCCAGAGCTTACTCGGAGACAACTGGGAGACAAGTGGGAGACAAATGGGAGACAAATAGGAGACAAATAAAATCATGCGGCCAGAGCACTGAGAGCATCCAGAGCTGGGAGACAAATGGGAGACAAGGGTGAAATCATGCGGCCAAGCACTCAGAGCATCCAGAGCTTACTGGGAGACAAGTGGGAGA